CAACATGGCGTTTTCATACTGGGCTCTGCAAATATCTGCGAAACATTTCGACGAATATCTGAAGTTTGGGCTAACGCACAGGCCTAAAACTTGGAGAAGTGTCTTATTTAGTTATCTTCTATAACATCGTAAGTTCATGGCTTTTTCCACCGGATGGTTTTCGATTTTTTTTTTTATTGGGTGACAGTGAAAACGATCTATACTTGATTATATACCCAGGAGGTATTGTTTTAAGAGAGATTAAGAGCGATGTGTATATTGCGGTGGAGTTAACTAGCCGCCCAACCATCCGGGTGGTGTCGCACTTATAAAGATAAAGAACAAAAGGTTTGGTTGTGAGCTAATGGGAAAGCACTGACGTCATAGCCAAACCGGACAAACGAGTCTCTGACACCGGCTGGATTTGATTATTCAAAATGGCGGACATACCATAATTTTTAAAGGCTATGATATGCTAATTTGCCAAACATTCTTTATGTGCGCGCTTATGCTCTGTAACGGCTTTGTAATTTATGCTATACGTACAGTTTTATATTAAAGTACGCGTTCACCTGGTGTTTCTTGAGTTACAGTAGCCAGATNTTATCAAAATACGCGTTCACCTTGTGTATATTGAGTTACAGTAGCCAGGTTAAGCCTTGATGATTACGTTTGTTTAAGGTTCTCTTTGCCATCTAATATTACACGTTGCAACGAAAGGGTAGTTCGATTCAAATTCGTCGACAATGTCTACCGTCTACGAATGCCTACGTGCGAAAAACAACTAAAGCATCACAACTTTCAATGTGATTCCACCAGATATCATTGTCACCGCAACATTAACATTTGAAGTCAATTAAGTAGCGAGATCCTCGAGAACTGGAAGCTATGGAAAGAGAAATACTGTATTAAATAATTACTTGGTTTGCATGCATGGAGCGAGAAAGAACCGAGTATCAACTCGCCATGTTCAAGGACGTTATTGATGATGATGGCCTTAAAGTTTAAAGCCTTAAGCTATACTGAAGAAGGAAATACAAACGATTGCCTTGTAGTAATGGGGAAGATGAAAAGGTATTGCATCGTCGAAGTAACGTAAACGAGATTGTTTCAGCAGGAGGGAAAAACTTCCTACCGAATCGCTCGACAACTCAGTCGCTGAATTAGAAAGAAACTTGGCAAAGAAGCGCAAATTTATGTGATTTCTTACGGTTTTTACACGATACTCTCATCTGCGTTCGATTAGTCTTGGGATAAATCATGAGCAAAGCACAAAGCAACCACTTAGGATGACAGACCCCACGTTAAACAAGTGTATCGACCTTCCAGCATCCGAGATGCAAATATAGG